CTCCGCGGCGGCAAGAAGCGCACATGCCAAAAACAACAGGTAATGAACTCGTACCTGGTCGTACCTACCTCCCCCCATTTGCGCCCGTACTCGCTCAAGTTTTATCGGTATCTTGGGTGGTTGCACCACAGCATCGAGATGTCGAATCCACGACACAAGCACCACATGTCAGTGCCGAAAAACGACTTTAGCACCCGTCTCACACGCAACGCTGCGGTCAACTTCGACCATGGTCAATGATCAGCGTGGGCATCCTGGGAGTAGGCTGATGCGAGAGCGAAGACAGACCTTTGTGCGCGTGCTGTGAGGTCATGTGAAGTCTTCCCTGTGGTTGGGATTTTCAGCAGAGTGTGAAAATCACACCTCTTGAGGAGGCGTTCGATGCCCAGGACGTGCTATCTCTGGGCATCTTGCCGTTCGTTTCAACATGCAAAGCGGGAGGCCTCTCAATGCCGAACCCTTTGAACCTTGATAAAGCTCGGCTGCCTTGGACTAAGTACTGAGCCTAAGCCACGGCCAACACTGACAGAGGCACAAGCACAAGTATCACCATCACTGTCATGAAGATCACCCTCCTTAGCATCTCAAACCTACCAGCAAAAAGCCCCCTGAGCCCACTCCAACCCACAACAGCTGCCTGGCGAGGCTGTGGAGTCCACGCTGCGGATGCTGAAATCGGGCGGCACTTGAAGGGACTTCCGCTCTCCCTGCACAGCGACCCGGTCAAAACCAGGTATATTTCATAGGAATGCCAGTCAGAAAGAACAGGTAGTCGGAGCTGGAGCCATGCTAGCAATGACTACGACACTAGACTCACTACACTATCAAACACAATGGCACTTGCAACAGCAGCATCAGTGAGTAGTTTGTTTGGCTTATCGGGCGCAGAGAGGCTGGCAGAATGGCTCTGGGTTCGCAGTAGCACCGGGAGGGGGGGGGGGTCCTGCAACTCTGATCCCTTTGAACTTCTACTTCAATCTTAAGGGGGCTCCAAAGTCAAACCGGAAGCGCCGAGAACCTGCGCACACCCCGCGGCACTCGTACGATTGAAACTTCCTCCTTCCTCATCTGTGGTAACTGTACTGCTATTGTTGCCGCTGCGTTGAAAAGCTATGGTCAGACTGCTGGGAGTCTCCATGGGTAGCTTTGGACTTGCTGCTGCCATATGCAATGTTGACGATTCGCTTGCATTTGCCGGTTTGTATTTCACTGCGGATTCGTTCTGCGATGCCCACCAAACCCCGAATGCCGATACCGCGTTCGAAGCCAAGATTCCGGATTTTCTACCATGTCTACCGCCCTCATTGCTCCTGCTGCTGCGACGATGATGTGCACTGCGGGATAGCTCCCTGCTTTTGAACGAGGGCCCGGCTGCCGGCGGTAACTCCATCGGCGTCCCCGTGTGAAACACCTGGCATGCTGTGGGAACTTCTCTGTTTGAAGGGCTGCGGCCTGCGCTGCGGAATCAAAACTTGCTCCATCCATGCCTTTCTGGATATGAAGGGTGTAGGGCAGGGTTGACGGGTATCTAGCATGGGCGGCCAGGCAGACACCGAGACGAGGGAGCGGAATGCCAGGACTGCATTGAATCGGAAAGACAGCAAGCCTGAGCTTGAGCGGCCTGTGTCGTGTTGCAAAATCAGGAAACTGTGCAGACCTCCAGATTTCACGAATAAGGGGAGATCTCCGCAATGCTCCTTCTAACCGAACCGATGACGGCTAATCACCACCCGAACCCCAGCCGCACCTGCTCGTGGCCATCATCCGGCTGTAGGCAGCAACACCTCCAACCACATGACGTGCTTAGCTCCCGTTCGGGGTCTGGCCGTTGGCTCACCACAACCAGCCTGCCGAACATTGCAGCTTGCAGAGTCGCACAGCGCCCAATGCCCAGCTCGGCCGCAAACAAAGAGTGCGCAATCTGAGCTTCGCAGCTTATCTCAGGGAGCACACTCTGCTGAATCCATGTTCAGTCATCAGCCAAAGAAGCTAAACGACAGTCACGGTGAGGTCTGTGTTGCTTTCGCCGTGCCATGAACACAGTGGTCAACTGCGAGCCGAGACGGGCAGGGGGCCAAGGCGGCAAAGAACAATCTGGAGCGCTGATGTTCTTTGGATGTCCACAGACCCACTAACGCAACTTATGGTGGTTCTGTCTCGTGCGGCTGAAGCTTCTAACTAGCCCAAACAGTTCACAAGACTTCGACCCAGACCTCCCAAACCCACAGCTCCCTAAACCCTAAACCCCTAAACCATAAACCCCCTAAACCCAAGAGCTCCCAAGCAGTGGCCCTTTCTTCACCACAGGACCGGCTGCTCTCCTGCTCGCACCGCTGCCGAAAAGAGTCGAAAACTGCGTTCATGGGCAGCCGTGCCGGATCTAGCATTTGGTGAGTGTCCACATACATACATACATACATACAGATAGATAGATAGATAGATAGATAGATACAGATAGATAGATAGATGGATAGATAGATAGATACATACATACATACAGATAGCTAGATAGATACAGAGATACAGAGATACAGAGATACAGATAGATAGATAGATAGATAGATAGATAGACAGATAGATAGATACATAGATAGATAGATAGATAGATAGACAGACAGACAGACAGACAGACAGACAGACAGACATATGTATATATATATATATATATATAGATATAGATATAGGCTATAGGTATATATCTGTGTATGTTACACGGGCCTTCAGAGTTTAGGAAAATTGATTACTATGGGTTGCATTTTGCTGTCACAACTCGGACAAGCCACAAGCTTCGTTTGAGTTCAGGGTTCTAAGAGACTAAACGGCAGGGTCTGTCACATGCAGTGCTATAGCTGCTGTGGCACAGTGGGTTCAAAGTGTCCATCTACCCGTACCTGGCCTGGAAGGTGAGCTCTGCGAACTGTGCCGACTGGATCTGAGTCGAGTTCAGGCCTGCAGGCTAGGAGTTTCGAAGCGTTCGCCTTCCGCGTCCCTTAGGCAAAGCTACCCTGATGTGTTGCCTCGTCGACCCAGAACAACCGTCCCCGGCCTTCCATGCCTAGGAACTGCAAAACGATCTCGTGGTCGCCCCGGTTGGCGGCGAGGAGCGGCAGCAGAAGTCCCGCACCCCCAGAAACTTCGAAGCCTTGGACTCACTGAAAACCAAGCAGGGTCTAGATTTGGGTTAGATTCAACCTGCCTGGCGGAGTAAACAAGCGGTACCCAAGCGGTTCAAGAGGACGGTTGGACGGCAGGGCTGCAGCATGTCATGGATGCGGACTCCGAAATGTGTAGCTGGCAAGTCACCAAGCACTCGCATGGCCAACACCTCATCCACCAAGAGACGATACCTCGGAGGGACGACTTCGATGCTTAAACCAATGTGATCAAAGTTGATTCCGCTTCCCGTGCCAGCTGCAAGTACAAACGCTGTTCAAAGGCTAAGGATCAGGAAGGCGCATATGCTTCATCCCCGGTCCCCCGTCGAACCACTGGTAAGACGGGGCGCGCTCCAGTGCCGCGGCAGGTCACAATCAGCGTGTCCCCCACCACAACAGCCAAGGAGAAGACCTGAAATGCAAATGCAGTTTCTCCACCACTGCAGCAAAGAATGTTGAAAGCAGATGCTACTTACTGTAAGCCTGACTAGAAGGTTTGCAAGGCTCACTTTCAGAAAATACTTTGAGGCTCAGCAGAGGACCTCCCCGACATGCTGACGTGCTCATTCGATCAAGTTGCAAGGCGCAGGACGACCACCGCCACTTCCAGAGCCCGCGGCGGCAGATTCTGCAGCAGGGGATTCGAGGAGCTCACCTCAGTACAAGAAACCGAGGGCCGAGGCTGGGTGGCCATGGTCTGCCAAGAGGCGTGGCCGCCCCGGAGGCTTCCCTCCACCAGGACGTTCCTGAGCTTCCAAAGCTTAAAACTCCCCAGAGCTGACCGACGGACGGACCCTGGGTTTAGGCTTTAGGGTTTAGGGACCTGGGTCTACCGAATGGGAGCAAGACACCCAGCTTGAAAGTAGCCGGGGAAGTTCAAGCGCTCGTCCGCCAAGAGCGACAGTGTGGGGGTGCTGAAAGTCTGCAGCGTAAAGACGGTCTGTCCTGTGAAGGATTGGCTTCACAGCTCTTGGCCTTGAGCGCGAAACACCAACCCATGACTAGCAACTAGAGACTGTCGCCCTTCCTGCCTATCGCCAAACGCAGCAGGAACAGCCCTCAGCAAAGAATAAAAGCTGACGCGAGAACCCTGCAGGCCGAGTTCGCGTCATTGTCTTCTCTCCGCTTAGAAAAGACCAAGCACACATGTAGCCAGAACCCTTCACCCAGTTGGTCCTCCGCCCCGACCAAGCTGCACTGAGGTGACGAACACTGATGCCTCCACACCCACCACAAGGCCCAAGCCGCTGAGGACAAGGACCTTTCAGCATATTTGAGCGGCTGAAAACAGTTCACGGCGAGGCTATGGAGGCCTGTCCTGCGACACAAGCTTTGAGTAGGCCTAGCGGCTTGCAGGTGGATTGAGTCGAGCTGAAAACATGCGTCCTACAGGCGCCAACGAGAGTCGAAGAAGCCGGAGTCAGCCACTGAAATTAATCCGACTGAAGCTGCTGCTGTGCCCGCTGAGTATCCCTTAAATCAGATGATCCCGCCCCTACGTGTGAAAATCGCTGCGCTCCCTCGTCTCTATCATCGTCCTATCCCCTGAGCTCCTGAACCCCAAAGCTTGGGAATCCGAACCCAAAAACCCCAACCCCCCAACCCACTAAACCCCCAAGCCTCCAACGGAAATCTCTTTTCCATTCCCCAAACCCCCCAACCCAAAGCCCCTGAAATCCCCAAACCCCCAAACCCAACGAACCCTGAAAACCCCCTGAAACCCCCCAAACCCCCGAGAAGAGATCCCAGGATGCGTGGCGAGCGGCGGGGCCAGCCGTCCCCAGGCCTTTCGAGGCAGGAGCTCGGACCTGCCCCCAAAGAAAACTCGCACAGGTCCCCCAAGCGCTCCCTTATTACAAGGGCTCCTTTAAGAAATCCTTTAAAGGGTTCCCACTGCTTTAAGGGTTCCTGTGAAGGGTTCCTACAAGGAAGGAGGCTTGAGGGCTTCCCACCTAGCCAGGAGGAGCCCGCATTGCACGGTTTCGACTCGCACACCCGCACGAAGGCCAGCGCAGCTTCACGGGTTCGGGGGTTTAGGCTTCTTTTTGTTGATATCCTTTCCTCTCAAGGAGTTTCGGGTTTAGGTACAGGCCCAGAGGTCCTTCAAAGGAGGCTTTTCCTTAACGCCGGTTGCAATCACCATAGTATGCATATCGCATAGTCTATGTTAATGTTGCTTGCGCACGCTGTACAGGACGACGAGTTAAGTAGGAGGTAGGGGGCAGGTGGTGGGTGAGGAGGTGGGTAGCTAGCCAGCTGGCGGCCGGCTACACACACACACACACGCGTATGTGTAGATACATGTAAATATATATATATAGAGAGAGAGAGTGTGTGTATATATATATATAATATATATATATATAGAGAGACATAAACATGTATGTACATAAGCATGTATGCATGTATGTGCATGTATGTGTATGTATGTGTATATATGTGTATGTATGTGTATGTATGTGTATGTGTAAGTATATGTATGTGTATGTGTATGTATGTACGTGTATGTATGAGTATGTATGTGTATGTATATGTATGTATAAGTATGT